CTCTAAAAAATTTAGAACTACATCCTACACGTACACGGTGAAATTTAAATATTTCAAGTCAGACGTACCGCCGGAGAAAGCATAAGGGTTCATCATAAATGTGTGGAATTCTTTGTTAACCACACTAAAACATCAATGTGAAGTAAAAGAAGACGATAGCTTGAGACTTTCCATTCATCACGACAGTGTAAAGTTCCCCGTTTGGATCGAGTTTATCAGCCCGTCAGAATTGACGCCTTCCAAAATTATCGACAATATTCAACACGTGCAACAATCCAAGGACAGGTTTCACATCACAGACGGAAAAGTGATATTGTTCATGACCCACGTTTCTCTTCCCCAATAGACAGGACATGGCAAAAAAGTGTTATTGGTAGACAGCCTTCGTAGAACGAAAAGGAACCTCGTCCAAATTAACAACTCTGACGATAATATGGGTTTAGCCAGTGCCATCGTGGTGGGATGAACGTATGCCGACAAGAACAAAACGGCAGAATGGAAAATAGCCTGGAAAACTATTCAACAATAAGACAAAGCCAAACAACAAAGAGAGGCAGAACTCCTGTTATAGCAAGCGGGACTAACTAAACACAACCCCTGTGACATTTTTGAAATACAAACGTTGCAAGACGTCTTGGCTCCACATTACACGTTGAAAGTGCACCCTAAAGAAGTGCGTGGACCTCTGTTGTTTCGAGTACAAAGATTTCAAACACGGAAAATACATTCACATATATCATCACAATGAACATTTTGATATAATTCCCAGTATCACTGCATTCCTGTCATACAGAAATTTTTGTGAGAAATGTGACTATGGCTATAACAATCGAGAGCAACGCAAGGATTGTGGACCAAAATGCTCAAGAATTTTGGACTATAAACCTTTTTTATACGAAGGACAAGAACGAGTGCATTGCTTGTCAGCTTACGTTTGTCAATCCAACCTGTTATCAACATTTGAAGGCGCAAGCTTCACAGCAGAAATGTGCTTGTCAACTCCTGCAATTGTGCCCTACTTGGGGACAAGGCATACCTACCAATAATGCCAAGGCACACGTATGTCACATTTGTAGCCAAACCGTGGAATTGGAACACTAATGTTACATTCAAAAATACCAATCCAAAGAAGAAGAAGAAGAAAAAGAAGAAGAAGGAGGAGGAGATTGAAGAAAGGTGAAGGAGGTGGAGGAGAATTTCATCTTTTTCTATTTCGAATGCATGCAAGAGACTGGCATTTAAATTTTTTCTTGGATCAATGAGCGTGCGTGAAGTGCATCCAAGAACCTATTTTTACTCATTGCCCTCTCTGTATCAAAATTCCTGGTGGATGTAAAAAAAATCTTTTGGTCGACCTAACACATTGGCCGATTTCGCCCAATGGATCTTAGACCCTATCGACAAGACGTGGTGCCAAGAAGATATCGATCATTACGGAGATTGTCTTTGCTATGTTACGGTGTGTATTTTTTTTTTTAATTTTTAGCGTAGCTTTTAACAATTTTTCAGTCTTATCGCTACGTTGTCTGCAGTGTGGCAGTTTATAGTGATGTCTAGCACTGGGGCATCATGCCTCAGACATGTAGTATGATGTCCCACCCAGTCACATTATCCTGACACTAGGCTGACCAGTCCTAACACTAACCTCTTCATGCTAAGCGTCAAGCGAGGCAGCTGTTAGTACCATTTTTGTAAGTCTTTGGTATGACTCGACCGGGGATCGAACACACGCCTCCCGCATCCGAGGCGGACGCTCGAACCACTAGGCCACCGGAGCGGTGATGGCTCGGCAATTTATCGGGATACAATGGGCAGTTTCTTTTGAGATACTATACGGAACAAAGTACCGAACGTCCTAAATTTACTTTGAACGGAGTAAAATTCATCTACATGCAAGTGGGCCAAGTCCAGTTTAAAGATTCGATAACATGCCTTTGATAACCATGCCTAAAATGTTTGGAATGATAGAAATGGCCAAAAGTTTTTTCCACCCTTTTTCAATACCGAAGCCAATGAACATGCTGTTCTATCCCAAGTTTTGCCTGAGACTCACTACTACGACCCCGACATCATGCATATTGAAGAGAGAAAAGCTTTAGTCGCTTGATACCACACTCACCTCAGACCCTTTCAATTTCAGGAAAAAATGTTAATGTATTGTCGTTCCGGCTTGGATATCTTACTGTGTTGTGGACAATTTCGAGAACTGTTTATGGAGCACGGAGGAATGAGATTCTTTGAAAGAAGCTTGCACTATTGCCAAAGCGTGTTATTTAGTGTACAGCTAACGATTCATGCCCGAAAACACCCTGGCTGTCATCAGTCATCAAACGACGAACTTTGTCAATCAGTACTTGGTCAAAGCCTTACGTTAGCTACATTGCTTGCGAGACAAGGAAGACAAATGAATCCAACATGTCCGCAACGGAGGAGGCGAAAAGACCATTGACTGCCTGGAAGTTAGGAAACCCCAAGATAGTTCACGGTTGCTAATTTCACGTATGTCCCATCTGTTACCCTCAACGTGACCCTTCAAACTAGTTTTTACAACGGACTATGGAAGACTTGTCCGAGGCCACTTGTCAGCAGCGATTGATGATAGAAAAGCAATGATGCCAAGTGATATAAATGTGGGAACACGGGTACGATTACTGAAAACCGATTCCGTGGAAAGGTACAAACTGGTGGACCCTCTAAACCTGCCTGATAGTTTGTACGGAGGACGGACGAAAGCCACTTGTTTGCTGCAACAAACCGATGAGGAGAATGGAGAAGAAATAAAATACTTGGACGCGTGTTCGCTGTATCCTTAGGTGTGTAAGTATTGTCGCTTTCCCACACAGCACCAGCAATTGTTGACGGAACACATCGACCTGGACATGATTCGACAATACAATGAATTGATCAAATCCAAAGTCTTGCCTTCCACAGACTTGTATTATCCCATTTTACCTCACCATTGCCAAGGAAAACTGTTTCCCTTGTGCCGTACTTGTGCTGAAACGTGTAACCAAGACCAACCTTGCCATTACAACCCGGAAGAACTCGCCTTGAGGGGAACGTAGGTCATCGTGGAATTATTCAAAGCTCTGGACCTGGGATACCAACTGTTAGAAGTGTACGAAATTTGCCACTTTCCCAAGACAGAAAAATACCATAAAGGCGACGAGGCTCGAAGAGCATTTTCGCAGACTACGTGAAGGTCTTTTTGAAACTGAAACAAGAAGCTAGTGGCTATCCTTCTTGGTGCCACACTCCAGAAGGCCTAGAGATATTCACATGGAAATACTGGGAGCAGGAAAGTATCGCTTAGACCACGTGGAGAAAAACGAAGGAAGGCGATCGTTTGCCAAAGTGATGCTGAATTGTTTGGGGTGGGGTAAAATGGCACAACGACCGTGTTTACCAAAAGCGGAGTATTTGACAGAACCTTCCCGTTACTTCCAGTTGATTCACGGCAAAACCAAATGCATGAAACACGTGGACGTCGTTCGTGAGGACTTCCTCTTAGTCAGTTACGAAGAAGAACAGGACATAGTAAAAGCCGACGAATTTGGAAATGTCATCATTGCGGCTTACGTGGCAGCCATTGCTCGATTAAAACTGTACGAAGCTTTAGAACTGTTAGGAGATCGTGTGCTGTTTTTTGACACAGACAGTTGCATCTACATTAATCGATTGGGTCAACAGCACCCTAAAATCGAAGGAGATCGTTTAGGAGATTATAAGTTTTGCAAGTGGCAGTCCAAACATTACTCCTGCGAATACGGTGACCCCCAAGGAGACGTGCACACAGAGTGTAAAGTGAAAGGAATGACTCTCAAATCTCGCTCCAGTCAAGTGTTAAACTTTGAAGTACTGAAAGAAGCCTTGCAATCTGGACAGGATGGAAACTTTAAAGTGACCACTTACCAACAAAACCAGATTGAATGTTTACTCAAACATCAAATCGTCTGTCGACCCATGGAAAACGTCTATCAAATCGTGTACCAGAAGTGAGAACAGCTTCCCAACCACTTTACTTTACCATACGGACACAAAAAGCGACAACGTCCAAGACCTATAGTTCATTGTAACTACCAAGACCAAGCGAGAAACATAAATCCGAACGAGACGTTATTGCTGCCAATCAATGGAAGAAGTCGGCTCTTAACGTTTGGTAGACACAAGGTGGTAATGCTGTAGTACTGACAATGTTAGAGTGTGTGTTGGGTCAGTTTCCTCTCAAGCAAAAACCCCTAGCTGGTTAAATGGCTGCACCATTACTCAGTCGTCACCAGCTAGAATTAAGAAACATCTTGGCTCATTTAAAAGACCTCTTTGAGGGTATTAAAGAATGTAGTGAGTTTTCTCGTAAACAGTGGCACATGTATATTACGTAAGCGTAAGCACGCCAGTATAATACAAAGTTCATTTCAGTTCACTTCAGTCTGGCCATTATTTCAAACGTTGATATGAGACGCCATGAAGAAAGGACGTGGAACATGAACAACATGGCTGACAGAAAATACCACAATTCTACAACAATTTCTGACTACATGAGAGAATGGAAATACAATTAAAACGAAGAAAATGGATAAATATATTGGAATAGTTAAGAATAACAACTAAAACAGGGACTTCCAGCAGTAATTATCAAATAATATACACAGCACACAGTTGCATCAGCAGGGAGCCTCCCACCATAACAAAGGAACAATGGAAAAATCACCCACCAGGGACTATCCTAGACGGCTGTATCGACTAAACAAACAACGTAATAGATTCATCGCATCAGGTAAAGGAACATTTACTAACTAACTTTATTTCAATTTACCATTAGAATCTTAAATTCCCATCAAATAATTAACAATATAGGGGTAATTAAGTAAATCACAATCTAAACACACCATGTATCAGTTATATATACCTTTTATCAATATTTAACTCCAATAGAATTATAACCTTTAAAATGAACATATAAAATTATATCGATTCGCCAACCTAGTACACGCCGCTCTGGTGGCCTAATGGTTCGAGTGTCCGCCTCAGATGCGAGAGGTCGCGGGTTCGAACCCCGGCAGAATCATACCAAAGGCTTTTAAAAATTGTATTCACAGCTGCCTCGCTTGGCGCTTAGCTTTAATAGGTTAGTGTTAGGACTGGTCGGCCTAGTGTCAGGATAATGTGAATGAGTGAGACATCATGCTACATGTCTGAGGCATGATGCCCCAGTGCTATACATCACTATAAACTGTCACGCTGCAGACATCGTAGCGATATGACTGAAAAAGTGTTAAAACTACATTCAAAATCTAAATCACACACACACAACGTTGCACACAATAACCAAAACTGACTCGAAACTTAAAGATTGAATTCCAAAGAAAACAAAAAAAAGGATTAAAATTCACCAGCCCCACAAACAATCAAATTCTATATAACATAATAACAGCTCCAACTGTAGCAAAACCCAACATTTAGAACATTTAAATCACATAGCATTCCAATCCATGAGACTGAAATTCTACAACCAACAACAACCAATCATGTTCGATCTAACAAAAGCTCATATCCCGCCGTAATAAAACCGAACAACTGAAACATTTCAACCCATAAGCAATTCAAACTATTCTGTACGATTCTGGACAATCATGACAAGAAAAAGGATTAAAATTTAGTCCAACAGCCAATTAAATTCGTCTTATGCACCATCCCCACCTCAATCAACCAAAACAATTCAAAACTTTCACTCACTCTTAACAAGAATCAACCAACTCGTGTACCAAATAAATATCAACATTAATCATGAACTTAAAAAATAATTACAGATCAATGCATTCAAACTCCCCACTAATAGCTAACCAACTATTTATACTGGTATAAACCCCACTAATAATTAACAATCAAGCCCCAAATGTACCCACACCAATAATTAACAAACTATCTATACCGGGATAAACCCACACTTATAATTAACAATTAACACCCAATTTACAACGTTGAACAACACCTTAATGTAGCAATTTTATAATATTCAATCCCTAATATTTCATTCCACATACTGCAATTATAACCATTGAATCAAACAAAAATTGAAATCTACCCAACCAACAGCCAATCAAATTAGACTTAGCAGACACAATATTCCCGCCATGATAAACCCGAATAATTGAAACATTTCAATCCATTTTAACTCGATCCCGCAAATTGCAATGCTTACCAACAATTAAATAAAAGATTGAAAATAACCGATCCAACAACCAATCGAATACAATCTTACAAATACTACCACAGACGAACACTCTAACCAGAACGCTTAGTCTAACCTACATCATACTGACACAAAACACTAACCATACAACACTAGCAGCACCACACACTTGAAGAAATAAAGAAAACTAATAACGAAGATCACAGTACCAAGACAGAACATCAGGACAGCAAATTACGGAGGACCACAACAAAATGAACAGAAAAAAAATAAAAAAAGAACACAACAACAAGACTTTGTCACCTGGATAGAAGAAACGAAGTATAACTGTATTAAATTTGCCATCGGAAAAGGCTAAGTGGCTATGTAGATGGGACGCAATACTCACTACATCACAAATCAAAGTAAGTTTAAATTTAGGAGCAGTCCAGCAAGCTCTGCCTGCTGCTCAAACCCACACCCGCACTAACACCCCCAATCCCACACTAACCTATCCTGACAAGCGATTTCAAGAAGATTACATGGGACAGTAAACAGGTGCTAGGAAAAACACACTAGAAATGCCTAAGTGTGATCCTAACGTCAACAAACCATTGTTGAAAAAAGATTTCCCACTGTAAACCCAATATCTAATAAGTATGGAAAATGAAATGGATATAAGACATGCGGTGATGTCGTCGGGAGCTCTACTCACAACACATTACAAAAGAATTTTTCAAAGCCTGAAAATGAAATTGGTATCGGACAACCGGTGATGTAAATGGGAAGCTCTACCCACTACTACACAATCAATGGAATTCTTAAAACAAGGTCCAATCACAAATACTCTTCGTAAGAAGGAGATATTTTAATCCCCACTTGACCTGGCCCCAAAATACCCCTTGCTTACCGTACAAAACTAAAGGTCTTCAGATTGGCACACGGAGACCAAAAAGAATACAAATTTGACCTTTTTGACTCAACCGTCTAAAATACAAGCCTAAAAGACTAAAAACGAACATGGGAGGGCTAACGCCCCACACGTATGGACAACTTTTTGGCAATAACGCAAAAGTACGCCAAGTACACAAAATCCCAACTCTTCGAATTTGGCAAAATTCACAACCCCAACTGCTTGAACAATTGCGCAGGTTACAAACACGATATTGGTATAAGGCTGTCCACTAGTAAAACGACTAGATTTGACCAAAAGTCCGGCCTAGCGTTAGGCCAGGCGCGTGCGTGGCGCTGGGTCGCGGGTTTGTTGGTGCTTTGGTGGTTATCTCTGGACCTTGCTGTGTCGTCATGGTCTGTCGTTTTCCGGGATCTTATCTCTGCCGGACATGGATGTTGATGCAGTCTGTAACAATGGTCAGAGGTCACTAGTAGATGTTATGGCACCATACTCACAGCTCCAACTTAGTCCAGCCAGGGGCATTTAGTCCAGACTGTGGCCAAGGACCTAGCCCGGGGCTGTAATCAGTCGCAGAAGCACTTGTCCATGGGTGAATATAATCCGTCAGTCAGTCAGTCTGGCCATCCATGGTTGACTCTTCTTCCTATGAATATGCCTTCCAGACTAAGTAAGCTGAACGAAGCGTATGTCAATTTACATCTTGTCAGGATAAACCTGATACCGAAGCCTGATGAAATAGAGAATGTCCGAATGCTATCAATAGTCCAAGATCTGGTAGAATGGATCTTCACAGAGGAAATCAAGCAAGATCAAGAACAGACAGAGAACTATAGACTGCAGAAGCAGCAGACAGAACAACAACATCATCAGCAACAGCAGTAGTAAGAACGTGACAGAGGTTTTGTGGACTGTAGTATTGACACCAAAGAGTTTTCCTTCTCTTTCTGCTGAAGCAGGCCGTATCCTGTAGAAAAAACTTGCGAAAGATGTGAACGTAATCTTAGACAGTAAAAAGATTGTCATCACTGCCCGTCAACAAAAAAGCCAGTGTTAGGGCTACCCCAATGATCTCGTAAAGTAATGCTAATTTGATTGGCAAAAAATTTGTGTGTTTGTATGTTTAAAAATGAAGTGTGTCTATAAGCACTTTGTTTCTGTCTTGTCTTATAGTGTATGTCTGTTTGTAAATGAAAAAGTTAACGTGAGTGTTTCTTTTAGGTCCTCGCGTTCATTGGGATGGTAATAGTGCCATAGTAAGTTTTGGTGTTATAGAACGTTTTCCTTCACCTCCGTGCTCCAGGGATATAAAGCCAAGCGCGTGTCAGTCTGGACAAACACAACGCTGACACCAACATATACTACGAAAATATGACAAAGGCTATCAACACAGCAGCCCAAGAAACAATCACAAACACAACAGGGAAAAGCAAGCAAAATCCGAGTCCCCTGGTGTAATAAAAATGTAAAGAAGTCATACAAGCTAACAGAAAGGCACTCAACGGATTCTTGCACACTAGGACAGAAACAAACAGTAACACCTACAAACAAGCATAAAACCGAGATAAAACAATTGTCGAAGAGGCCAAACAAACATCATGGTGAAATTCCTGCTCTACACTCAAAACCGCACCAAATCCAAAGAGGTCTGGAATAAAATCAAGGCCAGCAGAGCCAAAACACCAAAAACAACACTACAACTAACGGGAACACAAACTGATCAAGAATGAGCAGACCTGCTAGGACAACAGTTTGCACCCTCCAGTAGCAACATAAGACACACCCAGACTTTCATAGCACAAACACAAACACTAGAGAACAAGTACCAACACATCTTCATCGACCAATGTCCAGAAGACAACAGCAACAACTCCCATATCAATGACTATTTCACCATATATGAATGGAGAAAAGCACTTCAAAACAAAAAACAAACAGCACCAGGAGATGACCAACTTTGATACCACATCTACAAACACTTACCTCCTATCATGCAACAAATAATAGTCGACCTACTAAATAACATCTGGAAAAAAAATGAAACATCCCTACACCATGGAAACAGGCAATAGTTGTCCCAATACCGAAGCCAGGAAAGGATCCAAAACAACCAATATCATACAGACCAATATCCCTTAGCAATTCGACCTGCAAACTATGGAAACTATGATAACGGACAGAATTCAACACCACTTCGAGTCAACCAACCTTCTATATGAAAACCAAAGAGGATTCTGCAATAAACGCTCAACATTAGACCAACTAATTCGGCTTGATGCAGAAGTAAATCGGGCATTCAACGCATGAACGAAAATAAACAGACATCTAATTGCAATATTTTTCAATCTAGAAATGGTATTCGACTTAGTCTAATCTCAAAACGTAACAACTACAAAAAAAACGGAAGAATGCACCAATGGACATCAACTTTTTGACAGGACGACGGATTAAAATCAGAGTAGGTAACAGAATATCTAACACATACACCCTTGAAAATGGGACTCCACAAGGAAGAGTCATCAGCCCCACACTATTTAATATCATGATTGACAACCTCACAAACCAACTAGACAACTCCATTGCACTGTCACAGTTCGCCGACGACAGATTCTGGAAAGCGTGCAATCCAAATAACAAAAGGTGCATCAAACAACAATAAAATCTAGACTCCATCATTAAATAGGCAAACACTTGGACATTCATAGTTTCCAACGACAAAACAGTTGACATGGTTTTCACCCCACCAAATAAATGTGAACCAAAGTATGCCCCTCTTTACTTACAGGGATCACTAATCAAAGTCGTCCAAAACAACATCTTCTTGGGAATGACACTGATTGAACAACTCACTTGGAAGCCACACATCACAAAACTCATTATAAATGCAAATAAGACCTAAATCTACTTAGACATCTTAACGAGACTACATGGGGGTCAAGCTCTTCTTCTTAGAAACAAAAGAACTGATGTCAAGTATACTATT